TGGCTTTTTTTAGCCTTTCAAATAGTTCTTGACTCAGTTGATCTTATGTGCTATAAGTTGTTTTATGTTTATTTTTGCTTTTCTTCATTCGCTCTTGGCCCTTTAAAAATATTTTATTTTACTTATTCTATTATTTTAAAGACTTCTTCACGTGAAGAATTAGATTGTTTTCTAATATGATCATTTGACTCGATATATTTTCCTATGTACTACTTAGCTTTTCTCAGAATTTTAATATCCTTTCTTTTTATACCATAAATTTTGCTGTGTAGTTCTTTATCTGCTCTCAGCATTTAATATATAATCCTGTCTGTTGTTTCCTATTTATTTTCTAAATTTCATTATGGTTAATTTTATTCTTTAACTCTTGAGTTATTTAGAACTGTGTTTAAATTCCTAAACATTTAGATATTTTCCTTTTGTGAAAGACTGATTTTCAACCTAATTGTAGTAGGTCAGATTGTGAGATTTGTGTGATACTAATTCTCTGAATTTTTTTTTTTTTTTTTTGTTTTTGGAGACAAATTCCTTCTGTGCAGTTCACGCTGTCCTTGAACTCACTGTGTGATTGAGGCTGGCCTTGAATTTGCTGTGATCCTCCTGCCTCAGCTTCTTGAGTGCTGAGATTATAGGCAGGTGCCATCACACCTGACCTCTCTGATATTTTTAAAGACATTTTGTAGCCTAGTTAAGTGTTACCTTTTAGTAAGTGTTCCATTCATAAGAATGCATACTTGGGGCAAGGGAGATGGCTCAGGAAAATAAGCACTTGCCTGGCAAGTGCAAGGGCCTTAGTTCAATCCACAGTTTCGCCAGAAAAGAAAAAAAGAAAAGGGCCAGGGAGATAGCTCAGTAGAATAAGTGCCTGCCTGGCAAGTGCAAGGTCTTGAGTTCAATCCCCAGTACCGCAAAAACAAAACAAAAAACCCCACAAGAGTGCATACTAATTATAGTGTGTTCATATATCCATTAATTCTGTTGTTTGCTATTTTCTATAGCTTTTTAGTAGTCTTGATTGCTTGCTCCCTTCCTTCCTTCCTTTTTTTCTTTTTGGAGATAGGGTCTCACAACGTAGTCCAGGCTGCCTTCAGACTCATAGTGATGCTTCTGCCTCAGTCTCTCAAGTGCTGGGATTCTAGGCATACATCAGCATGCCTACTTTTTTTTTTTTTAGTAGTTTTTAAAATCTGCCCAATTGATGAGTATTTTGGAGAGAAGTAGTGAAATATTTTACTGGGAGAGAGGTTCAAAAAAACCCTCTATTTTTTAAAAAGTATAATTAATTAATTAAATACAAGGTTACAGTTCCGAGTTGCAGTGATCCTTCTGTCTCAGCCTTTCCAGTGTTGGGATTATGTTTCCGACCAGCACTGCATGCCCAAGGTTCTGGGGCCAGCACAACATGCAGTAACAGGGATGGAACTCAGGTCCTTGTGCTTGCCAAGCAGGTGCATATATTGCTGAGATAGCTCCCCAGCTTGCCCCCTTATTATCTTGAACATGTCAGTTTTTTTCTTAATAGTTTTCCTGTCTTTTTTTTTTTTTTTTGCAGAACCAGGGATTGAATTCAGGCCCTTGTGTTTGCTAGGGAAGCCCTTGTTCCACTGAGCCAGCTCCCCGACCCGTTTTCTTGTCTTTGCTTTATGTATTTTGAGGGTGTTTGTTGAAGTTTATAGGAGCTTAAGATTTTGCTATCACCTTAATTTAACCTTTTATCTTTTGCCTAGTAATTTACTTTTATCTTTAATAATTTTTGTTATGAAATACATTTTGTCTAATATTAATAGAATTATATTTTACTTATTAGTATTTGAATATTACTCCCCTTTCAATATTTTTATTTTCAACCTTTCACTATCCTTATGTATCTCTTATAACAACTATGGTTAGATTTTTAAAACTATGTTAGCTGGGCATGGTGGCACATATCTGTAATCCCAGTTATTTGCGAGGGTGAGGCAGGAGGATTGTAAACTTGAGGCCAGCCTGGCCAATTTAGGGAGACCCTGTCTGAAAATAAAATATAAAAAGGAGCTAGACATGGTAGTGCACATACCAGCATTTGGGGACGCTAAGGCAAGAAGACTGCAAATTTGAGCCCAACCCTAGCAATTTAGTGATTTAGTGAGATTCTTTTTAAAGTTATTATTTTATTTTTACTTATTAATATTTAAGAATCTTTATTGAAATAATTTTTTTAATAGGTTGGTGATGCATCTCATTGTGAGAGCCCTGGGTTCAGTTCCTAGTACTGAAAAAATCAAATCAAATAAAACAAGACAAAGCAAAATAAAAACCCACAAACAACAAAACCCTATTCTTTCCACTTAGCTCTTAACTGATAAACTTAGTTCTTTTATTGTGTCTTGTTATTCATATAGTTGATCTTCCTGTTTCACTGTGCTTTCTATTTAAATCATTTTTTTCTGTGATCTATCACAGATAATTGTATAGTTGGAATTGTTTTCTATTATTATGTATGTCTTATTTTGGATTTTTTTTTAAACAATCTAAGTTTGGTTGTTTATTTATTTTAATGGTTTTGGGGATCTAACTCGGTACCTTGTCCTTGCCAGGCAGGCGCTTATGCCACTGAGCTATATCCCTGGCCCCTTATTTTGGATTTTTTGATCAAATCTAAATTCTTTTCTCTTCTTGGTAATTAGATGCACTGTGCTTCTTCTTTTAGTGATTACCTTATAATTTCTATCATGTAAACCTTAATGTTAAGTCATTTTCTGGGATGTTTTTTCCATTATAACTCTTAATTGTTCCCCTTTATCTTACCTAGCAATAGTGTAGACAAGTAGTGCTTGTTTTATTAACTTGTATCATTACTGCTTTACCTTTTTTTTTTGCCATGGTAGACCTTTCATGTAATTTCTCTCTGCCTGATACCTTTTATTTTTATTTTTATTTTCTTCAAAATGTTACAGGCCTTATTGTCACCACCATAAATATTTACTGAGATGGAAGCATGACCTATGTCTCAATTTTAGCCACATTGACCAATTCTAGACACCAATCAACAGTGCCCATTCTAATCCAGAATGAGATTTTGCCTGATACCTTTTAGAAACAAGTAAAGGGCTGGCTGGTGTCAAACTTTTTTTTTTTTTTTTTTTTTTTTCCAAACTGCTTTTTAGAGTTTTAATTGAAAGATCCTTTTGTTACCCGTTTTCCTTTTTTTTGGGAAAGGGTCTACAGGGTGTTGAGGTTCTTACTACTAGATCTGACATGTAGTGATCTGCCTACTTAGAACTTCCCAAGAACTGGAATTACAGGCATGTGCCACCGCTAAGTCTCAATTGCCCTCTCTGTGCACCCTGGGAGGCGGGGCCAGTGGGGAGAGGAGGCTGATTGAATTCTGGCCCCTGAGTCTACCTGCAGGTGCTGTAATCTGCTGAGCTATCTGGCCTGCTGTATGTTGCCCTTATTCTTGTAATATACTTTTAGCTGTATGCATTGTATACTAATATTTATTTTTGTTATGGAAGATTATATTTAATTCTCTTCTCTTTTCTGTTTTTATTGTTTGTAAATGACTAGCTCAAAAATGTTTAGAAAAGTTTCTGGCTGCTTTTCATATTCTTTAGTCTTTGGTGATTAACAGTTTCAATACTGTGTTTTAGTTATGGATTTCATCTGGTTTGGGGTTTGTTTTGCTTCTAAAATCTGGGAATTGTGGTCTTTTGTCAGTTCTGAAAAGCTTTGAGCATTATTCTTTAAATTGCTTTTGTCCCATACACTCGCCTATCTTCTAGTACTTGGAATGGATGGATACTATATCTTTTTCCTCTGTCTTTCGTTTCATAACCTGTCTTTCATATTTTTTCTGTCTCTTTGCTTCTCTGTGATCTGAAACCAGACAAGATTGAGACAGGTAAATATGGGAGCCAGTTTTTCCCAAGAGACAAATGCTCATATTACATAGAAAGCTTTGAATTCAATCCCAAAGCAAGTTTCGAGTGAGGTGTTTTCATTAAGACAAGACTTTTGAGGAATTAAATGGCACCATTTGGCCTCTGGGTAGATGCAAATCCAGAAGCTATATAAATGAAAGCATCCTCAGGGTAAGGCCTCAGGATTTCTGTATAAACTTAAAATGTAATATAACATGTTCAATTTTAGTTGACATTGGGTCTAGGCCAGTGAGATAGCTCAGCAGTCTAAAGCGCCTGCTTAGGCAAGCTTAAGCAGGCTCAGGGGACCATAGTTTGATGCCTGGGACCACATGTTGCACCAGCCCCCACCTTCAGGGTGAGTTGAGCCAGCCACCCTCCCCCCCACCCCTACCAAAAAAAAAAAAGAAATGATTTTACCTTGGGTCTAGTTGTATTGTGATGTAAGGATACTTCAGAGCATTCTAGTCTGCCACATTGGCAAAAGTAAAAGCCTCTGTAGGGGGATGTTTATACTCACTAGTTTATAATTAACTAGTGCCTTGAAATGACAGTTTAGCAGATTCTTAGGAGTTTTTTTTTTTTTAAGGCATAGTCTCGCTCTATAATTCAGGCTGGTTGGCCTTATACTCACTATTTAGCCCAAGCTGGCCTCGAACTTGTGGCAGTCCTGCCTTATCCTCCTGAGTACTGGAACTATAGGTGTGTGCCATTATGCCTGGCCCTTTGGAGATTTTTTGCAAAGCTTAGAGCAGCTTCTTTTAATTATTTGAACCTTGTTTTTCCTAATTTGACAAAGGGTATTTGGAAAGGACAGCCTGCTAGACTGGAAAGTAGAATCAAATTGCATATATTATTTCATGATGAACCAGTTTTGATATTGTTTTGAATTAGAAATGTATTATTAATGAGGCTAGAAATACAGCTCAATGGTAGAATGCTTTGGAAGCATGTATAAAGCCTTGATTTAAGCCCCAGCATTGAAGGAAATGAAAGAAAAAAAATGTATAGGTATATCGAGGAAATCATATGTTCTTTTTTTCCTTTTAATTCACTTATCAATAATTTACCTATCCTTTTGTTCCTTGGTATTTTCAGGCGTAACATTCATGGGATAAGCAAAGAAAAAATAATAAGAATGTTGGAACACTATCAGCGTTATGTTTCGGTGCCAATAATTATGAGCTCTTCAGTGCCAGAGAAAATTGAACGTATTGAGTTGTGTGCATATTCCTGTGAGGACAGAAGTCCCAGGTAAGTTAAAATGCCTTATTTACAAAAATGTATTTTGAAACGTGTTTTTTTTTTTAATTGAACTTTCAGAGCTTATGAAATCTGTGCAATTTAACTTTAAAAATAAGGTAGATTATTATTTCTAAGTGTGTAGGTTCAGTCTTGTCTGGATTTAGTTGAAAATAAGTTAGCAAAAGAAGTGAAAGTTCATATGAAAGGTATTTTTCATTGTGCTTGGATTTTATGCATTTGTATTTATACTGTGAATATACCTATTTTTGTTCCAGTGTTTCCCTTATTTCCTTACTATTATCATTTTGGTATCCATATCACTTCTTAATTTTCTAAGATTTTAGTGAAAATACTTTTAAACTGGTATCATAAAAATTAATTCTTTGTAGTTTTACTAATACAAGTTACAACTCTTTAAAAATTTATGATTCAGAATGATACTAGTGCTAGTCAGCATGCTGTCACTAGCAAAATACCTGCGGTAACCAGCTTTTTTTTGTTTGTTTTTTTTTTTTTTTGTTTTTAAAAATTTTATTTAGAATTCCTACTTGTAGAAGTTAGCATAAGTTTACAGATCATTAGACAAATTCAATGCTTTTTTCTCTGCAAACATTTATAACAGGTTAGGAATAACAGATTAAAAATGTAATACATTACAAAACGGTAGCCTATGACTATCTGTACATTTACTATGCACCTTAATGAAAAGAATTCAACATACTTACACTGTAGATAACATAATTTTAGTCTATCATACGAAACTGACCAGTGGTAGTGCTTGAATTTAAAAATGGCCATTAAACAGGGTATTTAAACTTAAATGTATAATTAGCATGCCAAAAAAGTGAAAAAAAAAATTCAGTTGAAGTTTTGTGACTCATCAGTTCAGATATTTCATGGTATTTTTCTTTAAGTGAAAAATTTCCATATTGTAATACTAAGACAGTAACCAGCTTATTAATAGAAAAGACTTACTTCGACTCATAGTTGTATGGTTTCAGTTCCTAATCAGTTGGCTCAGTTGCTTTCACCTTTGATGAGGCCGCGTAGCATGGCAGAAGCATGTGTCAGAGTGAACCACTCATTTCATGTCTAGGAAGCAAAGGAGAGGAAGAGGCAGGCCCTTTCCAGGGTGGGCCCGCAATGTCCTGCAAACCTTCTGTGAGGTGTCTTCCCTCTCAGAGCTGTCACCACCTCCTAGGAGTGCCACTCTGAGGACCAAGGCTTTGACACATGGGTCTTTGGCAGACACTGGTTCCACCATAGCAGTAATGATTCTATAGAGTATTTAGAACACATAAACAGTTGAACAAATAAATGAATAAATGAGACTCTGGATGTATGTTAAGGTCTGAAGTAACCATATTTTTGATGATAAGGGATGAGAGAGAGGCTTTGTTAAAAAAGAATTGATCAGAAAATTTGGGACACAGCTGAGTTACATGATGTTATAGTACAAGTTCTCATATGTCTTGAGTCTTAATTGACCTTGGAAGGGTAGGGCCAAAATGTTGGCTTTCCTTGAGGCTCTTCTTTTTCTCTAATTTTTGGTCTGCAATCTTAGGTTGTTAACCCTCCAGAAGAGAAGTTTATGGTTAGTACAATACAACCTAGGCTGTTGAGCTTGACCTCACTGAGTATCAAACATCTTAGGCATAACATGGAACAGGTATTTTTCATCAAGTAATGATATGTTAAACTTTAAGTCCCTACAGAATATGACAAAAAAAATTTAAAAAATTAAAATATATTTAAAAAATAGAAATAAAGAATTATATATGTTTACACATAAGTCCAGAAATCTAACCATATGCAGCATTGTAGCAGGTAGCAGGACAGTCCCACAACACTCCTTTTCCTGTCTCCTGCCTTCATTCACCACCCCCTTCCTTTTTAAACAATCATCTACCTGAGAGACAGCATGGCAGCAACTGGCATGTCATGACAAGCAGCACGTATGCAGAAGACCAGAATGACAGGTACTCCAAGATGAACCTATTACAAATTGCCATCTTCAGTGCAGTTGCTTAGTTCACAGGTGTCACCATATATAGTCAGGGTAAGAATCCTTCCAATTTAACTGCTAGATTTGAAAATTTTCTGAAGATTCTCAGGTTCATTGCCTTACCCATCTTGAACATATAACTGTATAGCTTGCCTCTGTCATGTTTCCTAGCTCTTCTTGCTCTCTTCATTGTCTAGTCCTCAAGTTGTTGCTTTCCTTTTAATTGTATTATACCTTTCTATTTGTATTTCTTCTTTTGAGTTCTTATACTAGGGAAACGATACGATATTTACACATTTGTGTCTGGTTTATTTTACTTATGAGTATGGGGCCAAAGAGGAAAGTGATCCATGATGTAGAGTGTGCCTAAGGAGAGTCCTATATAGAGAAAACATTCTTTCAGGCTTTCACAGAGAGCAAATTGGCCAAGCAATGGCCGTGACTCATCCACATGGCTGACACTGACAAAGGATCTACAAACTGAGATACAGGATCTCAGGATAAGTCCTGAGGGGATTTGACTGACCTTATCAGATCCAAAAGCTTTAATTCTTGTTACATAGGTCTTGCTTTATCTTGGTCTTAACCATTCAGCAGAAAAGTATAAAAATGAAGTAGAAGAAATAAAGCCATGTTGTTATGTTGAGCTGTAGGGAACTCAGGTCAACAACTTCTGACATTGCCAGTCAAGCGGAAGACCCAATACTATTATGGACTACTGGACTATTTTGGAATGTTTTGATGAGTTCACACACCTGTAATATTTAAATGACAGAACTAAACAAAAAAAGAGTATACAGATGAATGATCATTTTGTATCTGTATATTCAAAATGGTTAGGATAGATATACAGCTACATTCTCTTAATTCAATGAATAGAGGGATTTGTTCTAATAGTGTTTGTAAATAGGATAACATGTCTGCATCTTATACAACAAATAACCACTAGGAAGGCAGTATGCAATGTGTTTATTATTATTATTATT